AAGCCTGAGGGTCAATATTCTCAGGCCGGTCTTCCTGATAGGCGAACTGGTGCGGTTTAACAGCCCTCTTCACACCAGCACGCTCTTCCTTCTCCTCCATTTATCTCTTTCCTTTTCCTGCTGGGAGGTTTTGTCTTGCATGAAGCAATGATGCTTTGACTATGAGGGAGGATTTCCTCAAGGCTACAGTAGCTTCTTCCACACACACAATTAGCCTGGTAATCACTCAAGAGCTTGCTTGGACACAAAAAAATGTTTGGCTTTCATGCCTGGGAGTGTCCTTCACTTGTTTATTTTCTAAGTGCAACACAAATAGCAACAACAAAAAGACAATGACTGAAAGACTCTTCTTTAAATGGAAATGCATCTGATTAAATCCACAATATGTAATCTTCTGCCACTAGGGGGTCTCTCAATCAAAACGGCAACCAAAGACGGAGTTTGGTGGCGTCGTGAAGTCGCGTGGGATCATGGGATTGTTGTCTTCATCTTCTTTCAGATCAGGTGATTAAAACTGGTAAGAATTATACATTTTCACATCAGTGTTTCTACTGTCCTGCTTGGCATAGAATGGACATCCCAGTTGTGTGCCGAGTTGCCACGAATGCTTGCTCAGGTTGTTTCTCTGTTTACTTCAGATCCAGACGTTCAAGAGGTTTGTACTGGGAGTTTAATTATCTACAAAGGCCACGTCTTCGCCAAAACAAATGGACACAGTGAGTAAAACCGTTAAAATTGAAGTGGCTTCACGCAAAAAATCTGTGTTTCTCCAATGCTGCTCGGTATTCTGCTCAGCTTGTTTCTCTGATACGTTCATATCCACATGTCTTGTGACTGAAATCTGGTTCAAATCTATAGTCAAGAAGATCAAGATCTTACAAGTGTTTTGTAAAAATGTGCCTTAAACTGTAAACAAAGATCTGATAAAATGAGCAAAAGGAAGCCATTACAGGCAAACAAATACATCATTAATTCAAACTTACTAAGATGTTGGAAACAGTTGGGATAATGTAAGAACCCAACTCAACTAAATATATATCACACTGTCTAGTCACTTGCAAACATTTATATGGAAATGTTGCTCATGATACTTTTTAAATGTAGCAGGATATGACATCATTCGGCTACAGTGACAGATGCTTACGACCTCTGCCGACTCTCCATGTGTCAAAGGAGGAGCTGGTCTGTTGGGATCAATATGAACCATTGAAGGGGACGGTCTGGGTTTTAACGCTCCCTGCCTGGTGGGAGGGAGATATGTGCTGCTGTCTCTTGGCACACGGGCACACAGACAGCAGTTACACACACAGCCTCAGGTCACCTCAACCTGATTTACGCACCTGAGCAGGAGCCTTTTAAAAACCTGTCTTGTTGAGCCATAAATGACATGCATGCTTAAATGACGTCATGATAACACTGTCCACCTCACGTCTTTTCAGTCCCTTTACTCAAGTGCAGTGTCACCTGCAAGCAGCACGACATGGTGTCAGTGACCAAAGGGTGTTGTTGGTTGAGTTGTAAGGGTAGAAGAGTGCTGACATGGCTGTGTTTTGTCAACAGTATAACAAGAGGGCGCCTGGAAAGTTCCACAACTCAATCAGAAAAGCAACCATAATGTCAGGGTGTCTGGATTCAACTTAATGTCAGCTGAAGGTTTGTAGGTTTAAAGTCTTTAAAACCAGACCTCCATATCAGTTTTGACTCCCGTAGGTAATTTAGAACATATGTTTAAAGGTTGCAGAGGCTCTGAGACATTTAATAATATTAATTTACTTCTCCATATTGTCAAAAACATGGCGTCATATGTCAAAGCCATTTACTGCAGACATACAGTCATGTGTTCTCCTCAACACTAATCCAACATTTGATCCTTTGCACAAGCATATTGAGAGTATTTACTGGAAATGTGGGTGACACACATATTTTATTAAGTTTTGCCTGAAACTATTTAAGTGAGTAGAGGTATATTTTGTGTATCTGAAGGGAGTATTAGGGTAACACAGGGCAGCTCGGATATGTGAGAGAAGGAAACCACCCCTCGCCTTTCTAATTGCTGCAGCAGCAGGGGATTTCTCCTCCGAGGGCGACATGCTCAGATGCCTCCGATCCATTGGCAGCGCACATCAAAAGCCCCATTGATTGGCTGGACAGATTGGGGCATAGAGATCAAATGTGCTGTAAAGAAGTGTTAAACTGCTCTGCACTAAACAGAGCAGATTTCTAGACTAAAAGGGGGCCATCTGTTAGCACTGTAGCTAATTTCCTAAAGCGTTCACCCAGATTGTTGATACTATTGGAACAGTGGCCAGAGATGGTCCAAATCAGAACCAAGCACATGGAGGGTCAATAAATATGAGAAAGTGGTCTGCCCAGCCTGAGTGCATCTAAGGAGAAACACAATATATATTTCCTTTTTTTTCTTTTTAAATACCATCAGTATCGTGACTAGTGTTCAGAATGCCGTGTGACTTTTTATTTGCGTCATTAGGTTTTCTGTTTTAGTCACTCGCTGTCCATTGCAAATGAACAGTAAACATGTATTGGCATTTATCAGAGGACAGTTTAATTAAAAAAGTCCTTTGATGTCTTTTTTTGATGGGGGAATGTTCTTCATATGTTTTGGCAATAAATAAGTATAATCTGTTGGTATGACTTATGTGTTTTGTGTCAGTTGCTTTACAAATGTGAAAAATAGCAGGAATGAAGTGAGCCAAAACAGAACACTGCTGACTGGATGAAATTATTAGGATTTTAAGTAATGAGATTTCAAACATCTTGTTTAATTTATGAGCGCTATTCAGAGGGCAAGCCTTCCTGGGAACAAACATTCGTCTGCCAAAGAACCAAACAATTGCATCAGGCACTTTCTCATAAATAACAACTTGCCTTATTAGTCCAAAGGAACTTTCCTACCTCTTCGTTTTCCAATCAAAATGTTATTTTTAGGTTTTGGATGCCAGCTGAAAAGCCATACAACAATCAGAAGTCAGCTTTACATAACACTGTCACGAAGAAAAATGATGTTCCATACAAGGCCGAGATGGATCTGTGGTGGGCCGGTGTCTGTTTCCAAAGCTGTGTTTATTCTAGAGCAACACAGCAGAAAAAGAGCCTGTTGGAGTATTGTTTGCATTGGCCACGAGTAAAAAACCCATACAGATAAAATGTGCTATTATTACATGCCATAATTGATGTCTATTTATATACACAAAAATGAAAAAGATAAAATCAGGAGATTAATATGTAAATATTAGGAAAGCCTGATGAGTGCATCACCAGAGAAGGCATTTCTCTATTTGTTACCTAGAAGATCCGATCCGAGCATCGCTGCTTGTTTAGTTCAGTCCAAAGCTTTACAAGGAGTTGTAACCTGAGCTACAGTTAGGAAACCTTAACCGTGGCCCATCAAATATTAAAGTGTATGGATGTTTTGACATGTATCAAGGGAGGGCAGAGGCACCCTTGCACTATACACTTGTCTCTACAAAAGAGATTGATGGGGCTCTAGAGTCCATGGCAGCCATATAAACTATAGTGAGATCCCTCATAGATAAATGCATTAAAGTCATATTATACACGGAATATGGGATTAAAATCCTGTACAGGGCTGCATTGGTCCTCCACAGGATCTGTGTCAATGGTGGGAACGGCAAATGCTTCAATACAGCAGAATGTGAGATGTCCGGGCCTCTTACTCACACTGCTCCACACTCAATAGTCCATTGTCTCTGCCCTAAAGTGGAACCTCAAACCTATAAGTCAAAGGTGGGGGGGATATAGAAATGAAGTCATCTCTGCAGGAGAGCTGTTCAGCCAGACACCTTCATGGCCAGGGAACAGTCCCTAAATCCTGTTCCCTCACTGTAAATCCTCCCAGACAAGCTGGCCTGATGCAGGGGTGATAAAGGTAACAATGCCTGTGCCCAGCAGGAGTTTACATGTGATAGAAAAATGTACATGGCATTTCAATTTATTTTCTTAACAACGTTTATATACTGTTCAGTTCATTTTTCTCTTGGAACAATTATATGTACACATGAAGGCAGAGGGGAGGTTTTTTCAACCGCTTCTTGTGGATGTTAGTTCAACAAACATTGTTGCTACATGTAGGATACAATCTTGACTTTAATTTATACAAATGTGCTTTCAATTGAGGGCATTATTGCTGGTGGTGCTAAATGAAGTGCCTGCACAGCTGGGTGCTTGCACTTGTTATGGTATTTTTATTAAGCATAATAAACGAGGTAAAACATACGGGCTGGTCTCTCTTCCTCTCCTTCTATATGCAGCACAGGTGTCCATGTGTGTGCCTGTATACAGTATGCCTGTGTTTGTTTCTAACCTCTAATACATGTTACAAATGATAACTCTCCAAATATTTGTTTTAATCCAAATATTTAAAACATTTAATCAAATGTAATTATGGTATGTAAGACTGTTCTGTAAATATTTCCAAAGAAACATTGCTTTAATGTAAATGTGAAGCCTTATTGGACCTCCAATTTTACGTCATTTACGCACAGATCTTTTGCAGAACGCGGGTTTCTCAGCTGATTTATGAGTGTATTTGCAACAAGAATTTATGATCACACAGCTGAGGAGTTATCTCCCGCTCCTTCCTCTCTATCTAAAATAAACACAAGAAACAACAGAAGAGGCTGAGGCCACACTCCTAAAAGACAGAGTGCAATCATTAATCCCGAAAAAACAGAGTAAACTAAACGTGAATTTCACAAACGTGTTGACCAGAGGTTTTATAATATATTAAAACATAATTATAAACAATTATGTTATAGTTTTGTTTTGCAATTAACTGCATTTATTGTAACTGGATAAACAATCTTCATGCAAAGCGAATACAAAAGCATTTGTTTTTTTCTAGAAACGGTGAGAAAATATCTGCGAAATTACTATGAATGATGATAATCCAAGCAAGGGGAGAAGTAGGTGGATATGAGAGGGGGCGGTGTTTAGTGACTGACAGTGTGAGTAGTGGCACCACTCTGCGGTATATAAACTGGGTCGGACGTCAAACATCCCTCACTGGGAGTCACTATGCGCTGATGCTCCGCCACATGCACGCATCACTGTTGGCAATACAAGCCTCGCATCAGCACAGCAGACTCAAACCACATCTGACCGGCACGATGGATGGTCCACAGAAAGACCGCAGACAGTCTCACTTGTGGATATTGACGTTACTGACAATTGTCTAACATCTAGCACTGGATAACGCGGTCTCTTCCAACTTCTTCTTCTGGCTACGGATTGCTGAGCTGGATCTTGTTCTACGGGCTTTTGAAGAAGGATTTTATTTATTCTAATCTGTATTTGTCATCACGCCATCACCACTTGGAATAGGAGCGTTTTTGTTGGAAGACAAACTGATTTTTTAAGGATACGCACATCAAACTCTAAAGAATGGCCGTTTGGTTCACCGCTGTCCTTACAATAGTTGTAACATTATTCACTCAGGTAGACTGTTATTTTTATTTATCTTTGCAAATTGGGAAACAAATATTTAAGAATGAAAGGTTGCATTGTGTGGTTGTGCTCACTTCTTGTATCCTTTTAGGTTCTGGGATCAGGTGTGTTCGAGTTAGATCTCCATCACTTTCAGAATACTAAAGGTTTGCTGGCCAATGGACTTAGTTGCAGCATGACTGGCTGCACGACTTATTTCAGGGTTTGTTTGAAGAACTTCCAGACGGTGGTGTCTCCTGGAGACTGTATATTTGGCAAAGCCACCACACCTGTTCTGGGCACCGACTCCTTCAGCATCCAGCAGGACGCCAGGCTGCGTCTGCCGCTCAACTTCACCTGGCCGGTAAGAGCCCATGTCCTGCCTTGTGGACTACTAACTTTCAATAAAGGGAAAACCTTTAAACACCAAATATAACGTGATTTTCGTTATGAATTGCATGCATTTAAAAATCCTGCATAATGACATTTAAATATATACTTTGGGGAAATGTATTAAAATGATATGTTATCAGGCTGTGTTATTATCTACATCAAATAAACGCCAAACCACTTTCTGCACCATTGATTATGTCTTCCATTTATATTTTAAATGTCATAGAAAGTCATTTTAATTGTCAAACGCATGCAATTGAAGCCAATCGTTTAAGATTCAATGTTAAGTTGTTTACTGCATATGTGCACTGCGTGTAAAGAGTAGAGGACTGCAACTAAATCATTCATTCTCATATAATTTCATAATGTTGGAACCCAATTACATCAGTATTTAACTGAAACATTCAATAGCTAAGAAAATATGTCTTATTGTTTATAATCAATTATTTTTGGTGACATCTATTTCCTCATTTGTCCCCACAGGGTGCTTTCTCGTTAGTTATTGAAGCCCGGTATTCTCCTGCAGCGGACCTTCCTGGAGGTGAGCAGACCCGCCTGTCCACCACTAGAGGGAGACATGCCCTGTTTAGCCTCAATGCCTTTTACCTACTGTATACCACATTTCATCAATAACCCTCAGTTAACATGCTGCCAAATACATCTGGCATTTCCAGCGTCATGTATACGTGTGTGTTAGGATGCCTTATGAGTCACACGACAATTCTTCACAATCAAATCTCTCCAAACACAATTGCACTTCCCTTGTTTTATTTTTGGCGTGCATGGGAAAGTGTACAGGCTTGAGGCCCTGCCAAAAATCCCATGACAGCCTTTTCCTGGATTTTACACCTTTTTTTTGTTAGGTCCTTCTTATAATGGTCACATGTGAGAGGAAAGGGACATTTCAGTGTGCAGATTGTGTATTGTTTAATCTCTAAATGAAAAATAGTTTTTTCCACTACACAATAAACTGTTTATAAACTGATCTTTATATGTCTGATGTTCTGTTCCTTGCAGATACCACCAAGCCTGAATTCTTGATTAGTTCTTTTTCCATGAAAGGACATTTGGGAATAGGGCCTGAGTGGTCCCCGGATGTGAAGAAGGTGGCGCAGACGGAGCTAAGGTACTCATACCGGTTCATCTGCAATGAACATTACTACGGGGACACTTGTTCCAAAATATGCGCGCCGAGAGACGACCTTTTTGGCCACTACACCTGCAAGCCTGACGGGCAAATAGCCTGTCTACCGGGATGGAAGGGAGAATACTGCCAAGAACGTAAGCAAGAGTAAAGACACCATATGGACACTTTGTTTGTTTGTGATAAAAAGTCAGAAAGCACATTTTAGACGAGGATAACCTAAGCATTGCTACATGAGGGAGTCAAAATAAGTCTACAGGAGGAGATTTTTTTCAGTTAATTTACCTTTTTTATTTTAATATTCCGCAAAATTCGACATAATTAATATAAAATGCAAAGTAACATGACGCCTACATTTAATGTCTAAAATGACCCGTTACGTGATCACAGGTGTGTATTTTTGGATGTGAGGCAGGCAGCCAAACACAGTCTGAGAGCAGCTTTAAGGTGAAATTTGACGACAGAGAGCACTTTCTCTGTGGGCGCGTGCGGTTTAATCCAGGGCGGTGGTCGCCAAGCAGCGCGCGCCGGGGTTAATCGCGGCATTATCGCCCGCCACGCGCCACTAAATTGCGGGCTCTATTGTTGAAGCGGTGTAGGGCAGCAGCTGCAAACGGGGCTCGAACTGCCCACCGAAAACAATGGGGCAGCTGTCCTGCTTTTTTGTTTTGTTGAGAACAAGCATCTGCTGCTGCACTAACCAGCTTTTTAACACCGTAAAATCATAAGAAGTCATTGACACATCACTAGTGTTTTGCATTGAACAGGGCAGGTAACAGGTTTTATTGCGAAAAGATAAAAACAATTCAAAAGTGGTGCAAGTCTAATTAAAACCTTGTCATGAAAGCCAATGAGAAACCTAAATATCTGCCTTTGTTTTGTTTTTCTCAGCAATCTGTCTGGAAGGGTGCAACGAAAATAATGGAAACTGCACATTACCTGGAGAGTGCAAGTGAGTATTTGCTGATTTAGTTATTTATAACATTCTAATACAATATTCATTTATGTTAATTGGAAGCAGAGGATTCACAAACTGCTATATCACATTATTAAACATTTGCAATAACCAAATAAGAGAATAAATGAGCCATGGAATAATTTACGGTGCCTTATTATGCAACAAAACTGTAACATGTATTTGATTTCTAGTATGTATCTCTTTGTCTTTCTGATTTAATTCGTCTCTAAGATTATCTCTAGGATTATGATACAGTGGATAAAAAGATTAGTGTAAATATTGTATTTTGTCATGTCTTTGCTAGAGAGAGAGTGAGACTATGAGGGCAGATTATGACTGATCATTTGTGTGCGAGCCAACGGTCACATCTGTGTTTCATTTGTGAACAGATGCAGAGAGGGCTGGCAGGGACTCTTCTGTGATGTGTGTAAACTCCATCCATCCTGTAAACATGGTACCTGTAAAGAGCCGTGGCAGTGCACCTGCAAGGAGGGCTGGGGAGGAATCTTTTGTGACCAAGGTGTGTAACTGCCTCTTTGTTTTGTACATAAAAGAAGGCTGCCTCCAATGTGGTGCATCTATTTGGTTCCATTAGTAATTGTTCCACCTGTTTGTTTGCAGATCTGAACTACTGCACCCATCACAAACCCTGTGCCAACGGGGCCACGTGCATGAACACGGGTCAGGGCAGCTACACCTGCACCTGCATGCCTGGCTTCAACGGGGTTAACTGTGACTTGCAGGTCAGGGAGTGTGACAGCCAGCCCTGTCGCAACGGAGGCCACTGCCTGGTGAGTCCGGAAGTCTCTCTCTCTCCTTTCCCACAACACAGGCTTTCCTGTTTTTGTTTTTGCCTCACTCTATCTACTAGTCCAGGAGGATGCTATCGATTGTCAAGTCAGTAGATGACCCAGTTCACAGAGCTTGTACTGTAAATAGAACTCCAACTAAGGATAATGGGGTTCGTCGGGGCATTCGTGAACAGGATATGATAAAGAAAACATCTGACAGGGAGCTTTTTGATAAACTGTATATCTTCTTTTTTTTTCCTGCAGGACTCTGAGAATGGCTATAGGTGTGAGTGCCCACAAGGGTTTGAAGGGACACACTGTGAGAACAGGAAACTGACCTGCGCAGATACACCCTGCTTTCACGAGGGCAAATGCAAAGAAAGGGACAATGGAAACACTTACATATGCGACTGTCCAGCAAGCTACACTGGGCTCAACTGTGAGAAGAAAGTGGATAAATGTACCTCCCTGCAATGCACCAATGGTAATACATCCTTCTCTTTACATGAAACATAATTATTTCTGTATCTTTCTGCAAAGAGACAGGCTCATACTCACCTTCTCCGTCCGATCCTTTCGTATAGCACGTTAGCATGTGTTCATTAGTTTGAATAAGACGTACACATATATCACCAAAGGAAACCATACCTAAATATTTCAACATAACTGTAACTAATAACGTTAATTAACTCAACCTTTAGCAGAAGGTAAAGATAAAGATAAATTGCTCGTAAGTTTGCTAATGTCAGCTAGCTATGCTAATATGGTAAGCAACGAACATTAGTGTTAGCTGAAATGATCAGTTTAGGTGTTTTGTATTATTTCCCCTTAAAGTGGACCTATCATGCTATATTTGAATAATATAGTGTAGGACCATACCTATATAAGGCATATTTATACTTTTTTTTTTCAAAATACCAAACAGATCATGCATTTTAGCCATGCCTCATTTTGCTCAATTTGACATTTTTTAGATCTGTTTTAGCAAGGGCTGATTCTGTGAGAACAGCACCACCTACAGGCCTGGCATATGTACTACAGCGTCTCCAGCGCTTTCGAACGGCAATGGCCGTGGCTGTCTCCTCCTGATTGGTGGAGTTGGCCCAATAGCCGTAGCGCCACCGTCCTGACGTCAGGAAAGTGTTCAAATCTGGATCAGTTTTTATCAGATCCGTTGCAGCCCCTTTTTTAGAGATTTGGGTATGGAGGAAAATAGAGAGGGTTGTGTTTTCTGACACTTGGTGAGTTCCCTGGAACACCGGGGACACATATTCATGTATAAAAGACGTACAAAAGTGCATTTTGCATGATAGGTCCCCTTTAAGTCATTATGCTCACAATACGTTAGCCCAGTTGCAGTTATCACGAAACATTAGGTTTTATTGTCAACATTGGACAATGTATTAAATATATGATACAATAGGCTTTCTTAATTATTAAATGTAAGCGTGATTGTAATGTTTACCTTATGTATTGATGAGAAAGAACGGCGTTATGAACACATGTGATTTTACCCCATGGGTTCCAACGGTGAGGTGGGCCTGAGCCTAGAGCTCTGCAGCAGGATGCTATTGGTATAATGCTTCTATAATACTTGTATATCTTCTCCATAGGTGGACACTGTGTGAACCACGGTAACCTCCAATTGTGCAGCTGCCGCTCAGGCTTCTCAGGACTCCGCTGCGAGATCAACATCAACGAGTGTGCCCGGAGCCCGTGTGCAAACGGCTCCACCTGTATTGACGGCATCAACGGCTACACCTGCACCTGCGCCCCCGGGTACACAGGCCGCCACTGTGACAAGCTGACGGACAGCTGTGCCCTTCAACCCTGCCTGAACGGTGGCACCTGCACCACTGGAGCCAAAGGCCAGCCGACCTGTATCTGCCCCGCCCATCACAGCGGCCCCCAGTGCCAGTCCGACGAGGGGCCTTCCCCCAACACCCCCAGCCCCAACAAAGGCTGGGATTCTGGCAACAAGTTGACTTTGGCAGCCATCTGCTTGGGAGTGGTTCTGGTGGCTGTTCTGGTGCTTTTCTGCATGGTAGCAGTAGTCGTTCGTCATGTCAAGAGACAGAAAAGCAGGAAGAAGCAGGACTCTGAGACCATGAACAATCTCTTCAAGGCTGACTTTCAGAAAGAGAACCTCGTCTCTATACCGGAGCTCAAGAACAACAACAAAAAGGTTGATGTGAAGTTGGACAGTACCAAGGAAAAGTTAAATCACAAACACATCAACCACTATCACCAGGACTATAAAACCTCCATGGGGTACAAGGATGAACTGTCCCTTCTGGACAAAGATGAAAACTGTGAAAAGAGAATAGAAGAAAAAAAACATTTGAGTAGAATGTACAGGTGAGTTCACAGTAAGAGCTTTGTGATGTTGAATATATTGATACGAGGATCAGTTCAAGTCAAAATAAGACACTTTGTTTTTGTGCTCAGTAACTAACAAGATCTCTTTGCTCCGCAGGGAAAGACCAGAGTGTAAAATATCAACAATATGTTCTCCCAGAGATTCAATGTACCAGTCTGTCTTTTTGGAAGAGAAAAACGAATGCATCATTGCAACTGAGGTATATTGTTTTTCCTTATATATCTGTATATCTTCAAAGCATAACCCTTATTATTTGCAAGCAATTGCATCTTCATGTGTGTTATTTCAGATGTTCATACTAAGCTCTTTATATCTTCTTATTTTTCAGGTATAATTCACGACGGATATTTTCCACTGTCAACATTGGATTTCTTGTGGACTGTTTACAAATGTGGAGAGACTGGGATTTATTTAACTGCGAGTTGCTGCTCTTGAAAACTTGATAACTGGATGGAGCCGATGTGCTCCTCGAACTCGATAGAACTGAAGCTACTAATCTTCGTGGGAATGTAAAGACTGAAAAGACTATAAATAATGAGCAAACCCGACTTGCGGATGCGCCTTTGATGTTTTCGACACAAACCCTCGTCCGCTCCGTCCAAGTTCATCCAAGGGCAACAGGCCAACGTGTCTATGCCTGCGTGTTGATTAGAGGACTATCTTGATGTACTGCGGTAATTAGCAATCAACAAATCAACTTACTGCCAACAGGCCTGTGGAGGGAGCCAGCCTTTTCCAATTATGTGGCCTGCAATGCGCTATGCAAACAACAATCAGCATTGTGCTTAATCAGAAAGGGACAACAACTACTGAAAACGGTTCATATCAAGGATATTTAAGGTTTAATTGTTTTTTTAATAAAGAATGTATGCAGCCTAGATCACAAAGCCTTATAAATGTGTTTAAAAGCATTGTGCCCCGCCTTATCTTGAGTCCTTTGCACATCAAAATATACATAAAGGATCAAAAGATGCAATATGCTGTTATAGCGCCATGCAGGAAAACTCATGATAAGGCATTGTTCCACCTTATGCAAGATCACCCTTACATGAAGACAAAGAAATACATGAAGTGACTATCGTACCAAGGACGCCTTCAAAGAAAATTACTGAACCAATAATGTTATTTTGTAAGATTAGTATTTCATTAGTTAATTTAAGAATATGAAGCACTAATATTTCTCTTTCTGTGTTTTATAAAATTATTTTGTATATACTGTATATTTATATGTTGAGATTAGAAGTATGAATTGTCTTTAAGTTGATGCCCAGAAAAAAGTTGAATTTATTTTTTAAGTGTTGTTGGTGTTTAATTTGTATTATTTTTGTTATAAAAAGACACAATGAACACATATCTGGTACACTGTTTGTTTGTTGGTCGGGTGCACATTTGGTCAAATAGATCTCCTAATTTAAATGTTGGAATCATCTAGAAATTGTATTTGCTTCAGCCGGTGTGGAAGTGGCTATATTGTCTATAGATTCAATGCTATTTGGCCTTGTAGCATTTCTATTGGTTCCATGTCTATGTCTATGATGTCTGTGTCAGTGTAATGTGGAATCAATGTGCTAGCAATCAATCAGTGGACAGTCATGTCATAGGAAATACTCAAACAAAAATATATATATTTAAAAAAATAAAAAATGTATGTGATAATAAAGAATCTTGTCGTCTTCAAACGGTAACTGCTTCTCTGACCTGCTGCTCTATTTGACTGAGCTTAAAAGGGAGAGGGATGTGAGGAACTCAACAATATGCTTGTGCGGGTGTCAACGGAGAAATCTGCATATGCCCTTTTATTCGGAACACAGCAAACGGGGGCCCCACAGGCAAATTGTGCCAAGCCCCCATGAGGCAGAGCACCAGAACACGCCCTCTATTGACGCTGTTACCTTAAACATCTTCCTTTTTTCTTTTCACATGGATCACAAACAATTAAGTGCACATTTTAATACCTGAATTCAAATGCATCATACATAGGTATAGCTAAAAAGGGCTTCACCTGGGCTCCTGCAGCTGATAATGAAGAAATATATTGTAGCCTACTACCACTTGGTGGCAGTAAGCTGTGTGTAAAGTTAGAAGAAAACAGTCAAGTTCCCATCTTAGCCCAATAAATATCGTACTTGGTGACAGGCAGAGGACAGTATCTCAAGCTGTGTGTGTGTGTGTGTGTGTGTGTGTGTGTGTGTGTGTGTGTGTGTGTGTGTGTGTGTGTGTGTGTGTGTGTGTGTGTGTGTGTGTGTGTGTGTGTGTGTGTGTGTGTGTGTGTGTGTGTGTGTGTGTGTGTGTGTGTGTGTGTGTGTGTGTGTGTGTGTGTGTGTGTGTGTGTTGTGTGTGTGTTGTATATATATAAAAGTGTGTGCTGGTCCTCCTGAGCAGACACCAACACTTAATAAGCTAAAGAAACCACATAACAGTCACAGCTATTTAAAGGTTATGTGATTTCCTTCTGCACTTTCCATTGCTGTTTGACACCCAAGGTACAACTTTTTTTAAAGGAATAAAATAGTCACAATACAGGCTTGTAGGCCTTTGAGCATGATGTAAAAAGGTTTTATCTAAATCTGTCATATCACACGTGCATGTAAAAAGAGAGTCAAAAGAAAATAATCTCTACAAATGTGTTACCAGACCTTAATCGTCAGTTCAAACAGAAACTTGGGAGTTTTCCTAATATTACTTTAACTACTGGATGAGATATATCACCCTGGGTTGTTTTGTTCGAATTAAAATCACACTGATTGGCTTATCCGTTCTCTAAGCCCGCCTCTCCGGTGATTTAATTGGTCCTACCGTCTTGTTATGACGTTCACTGAAAACAAATACACGTGTTTTTACAAGACACTGGAAAAAGGATTTGTACAGAGAAACATACAATTTTTACGCAATTTCAAACCTGTTTTGACGTCATAGTAATACACTCGTGTTTTTCTTGTGAACTGCGGCCGTGGGATATATTGGGATGCATAGGACGAATGAATCAAGAGAGGAAACATCGCAGAGCAGTAACTTGACATACTAGCTCGCACTTTTTATACACAGCCGAACGATAACAATGACACCTCAAGACATTACTAAAGGAAAGAGTAACCTGTGGATATTTGGATATGGCTCCTTAGTGTGGAAACCTGATTTTGTGTACAAGAGTCGTGAAGTTGGCTTCATTCAAGGTTACAAGAGACGCTTCTGGCATGGAGATGATTTTCATCGAGGGGACAAGGAAAAGGTGAGATTTGTACACACATGCATTTAATATTGGAAGCTTTTGCTTTCCTATTGCTTTAATGTGTTCTGATTTTAGTTGTTTATTCATGTTTTTGGGGGGTTCTTTTGCATTACTTTAAGGTATTAAATTGTTTTTATGCTGAGCAATCACTGTCTGTGTCCTTGTTTTCCACAGCCAGGCAGAGTGGCCACATTAGTGAAGGACCATGAGGTAAGTGTCTATGCCTTTATAAAACTGGGTAAAACCATTTCTCTAACCTTTCCTTATGATATTGTATCAAGGTTCAAGGTTCAAGGTTCTTTATTGTCAATCTGACATAGCTACAGAGTAATTATGCAGTTGAAAATCTTATGTCACAGGCTTCTCCAACAATGCAACATAATAACATAACATAATAACAATAAGAGCAAGAGCAATACAAAAATAATAATAGTTATAAAAATGAAATAAAGTTATGATGTGGAATAGTGCAGTATGAGTCTATATACAAGTTATTGGAATGATATATATATATTAGGTATTAGATACATACTACTGAGTAGCAGTTGAATGTTTGAAGTTGTTTCAACAGTTCAATTTTTTAACAGTTATATAACAGTATCGTAATATCATTCACATCATATAGTAATATAACAGTATCGTTATATCATTCACATCAGTTTATACAAAGTACATACTTCTACTACAGTGATTTATTCAATAAAGTTATGTAATGAAACATTGATATAAAGCTGAAATTACTTTCCGTACATAAATGTTCTCTAATTCAACATCAAACTCCATGTGCCATTCATATTCCTCCTCCACTTGTTTTCCCTGCAGGCTTGCACATGGGGAGTGGCCTATGAGGTGACTGACTCCCAAATGGAAGATTCCCTTCAGTATCTGGAAAAGAGAGAGGTTGTGATGGGGGGTTACAAAACAGAGATGGTGGAGTTCATCCCTAAGGAGAAGGGTCACGGTGCTCAGTTGGCCCTCGTCTACATTGCTACTCCTGACAACCCCATGTACCTCGGCCTGGCCTCAGAAGAGGTGATCGCCGCCCGGATTGCCATCTGCAGAGGAAACACGGGCCACAATGTTGAATACCTGTTCCGTCTGGCAGAGTTTATGAGGCTCTACTGTCCCGAGGTAGAAGACGAGCACCTCTTCTCTATTGAGGCTGCTCTTCTGAACATTTTCCATAACTGCGAAGGGATCAGACCTCCAGACCAAAAGTATTTTCTTCACCGAGCTACATAAAAGACACTCCTCATCACAAAAATGACATGGAATTAAAGTCCTGCAACCTCTGTTTTAAGATTTTGGATGCTCTAAGAGGAATACTTGAATTTGTTTTAAATGACGTATACAAAATCCAGAAGAATGTGATGCTTTTTAAACTTAGGGACGACTTCTCACACATGATATATTACACCTTTCTGGTAAAAGGTTCTCAGAAGCAATTCTATACTGTGTACATTTAAAGAAAATATATATTTATTTTTAATTAAAAACACAAAAGTCTGTATGAATGATGTTTTTTCCACGTGACTAAGTTGCCTAGGGTTGTACCCCCCTGCGTCATGCTCCCACATCACATGGCAGAGGAATGTTCATGTACATGTGTGGCCCCCCTCACAGGAAATGCTGACTTTTCCTCAGAGACTTGTTAACTGCACAGATTTAGCTGCTTTCCGATATCTTTTGTGCAATTTAAACGTACGGTATACATTCAGTTACTCATTTATGTGTACAAAATATTACTCTGGATGGTTTGTGGGAATCAGGGCTGTTGTATTTCAACCAGCCAGATAGAAAATGTTTTTCATGGAATTAGAGAACTTTTCTTTTTGTCGCTGCTTTTAATTGAACTATTCATATCTTAAACTGCACTGTAACTTTTATCCATGTATTTTTTCTTTTAATGTTTCTTTTATTATCTTTTCTTTTTAATGACTGTTTTTAAATGCCATTTTCTTAATGTCTTTCATTTTTTGTAAAGCACTTTGAATTGCCTTGTGTTGAAAGGTGCTATATAAATAAACTTGCCTTGCCTTGCCTTGCCTTGCCTTCATCAAGACAAAATTAGGGCCGTGAACCTCTTGAATTCTGTCAGGCACAACGGTTGGGAAGCCAAGAATCCTTAAGCACATTTAACTTGACTTTTTAAAATGTCTCAGAGGCAGCAAATATGCATGCACACATCTAGAATATTTGCATTTGAAAATATGGTAATACCTAAAACCAGGCATTATTACGCACAGCAAATAGTGCACTCAATTAGCCAGGAGAAAGCACAGAGTGTGGATGATTGCCTGCATGCTCTTACAGTATAGACGCTATAGGGGCTCAGCTGGGAGGTGCAGATAGGGTTTCTCTCTCTGTCCGGACTTTGAACACGCTGCAATAATATGTACACATGCCACATGTCAGACTTCTTTATAAAAACAAAAAAGAATGTAGACAAGCTAGCATTTATGCCTATAAACTGCAAAGTTACAGTGTGGCACACTGTTCTGCTTTCCTAGAAATCCTCCCAAAACTAGGTCAAAGGTTTGAGAGAGGGCACAGGAACATACACTTCAGCAACAGCTCAGATGTACAGAACATGTACTGGACTGGAGAAAGACAGAATGTCTCGAGATATTTATATCACTGAAGTGTGTCATTGCATAACCAAAGCTCAGTGTCCAGTGGTCCATTTTAAACAATGATAAAATTGATATGTTGAAAAACAATTGATCGCTTATGCTGTTGCTGAAACACCCCTGAAGAATTGTTTACTATAGCAAAGCACACCATGCTATTTGTGCTGTCTGAGACACAGTATATTGTTTTCCATTAAATGAATGAGATCCTCTAGACAAAGTGGCAGACATCGATGACTCAACAGCACAAATGTATGTCACTGGTTTCTTCCAACATGACTAACTAGTAAATATTGTGCAAAACAAAAATATTTGATGATTCAGTGGTGTTAATCTGCCTCCCAGTACAAACCCTACCTTGTTTGTGCTTTAATCCATTCCTTTGTGTTTGTTTTGGCTTATGAATCACCATTCAATTCACAAATTACCTCACCTTGAATTTTAATAGTACATGATGTTCAGTTATTTTTAATTTAATATGTTTTTGTCTCCTCGCAACAACACCAAAGCTCATCCTGTCCATTCACACATTTTGGTACAAAGACAATATTCAGCGTCGTAACTCCAATGTTTAAATCTTTGTCAGCAGTATAGAAGAAAACGGCAGGGGCAAAAGTTCCTGCCGCTCTTTCAAGGCTGTTTTTATGATGATTGTCTGAAAGGAGAATTGTATTATCTATCTGCAATGAAACATCGGTAACACTTTATATTAAGGTACACAAATTAACCATCAACTAGTTGTTAATTAACATGCATATTAGCAGTATATTGGCTCTTTATTAGTCATTATAAAACACTTATTAATGCCTTATTCTACATGACCATATTCTACAAGTAATAGGCCATTAGTTGAGAGTTTTTCCTCAATAACCCTCTAATTAGTGCTTATTTATTGCAAGTAAGGAAGTTGTTGTACATGAGTTTAGGTCTTAATATGCGCTGCTCAATATGGGCCTAATAAGGCAGTAGTACCACAAGAATAGTAATTCTCCCATAATAACACTTAACAAATATGGGTACCACTTTACAATAAGACTACCCTTATAAAGGATTCATAAAGGGTTTATAATTAGGTTATTAATCATTAAGAACCATTTATAAACCAGATCTAACATAGTTTTCATACATCAACTCAAGCTCACTATTTGGCAAGATGACTAAGCCGGTACCACTTTACATGTACAATAAGAGTTTACGAATAGTTTGTAATTCATTTATTAATTAGGTTGTGAACACTTTATAAATCATGATTAAGCTTTTATAAGACATGAGATAAACAGGGCAACTGTGACCGGTTGCTTCCCAAATAGTGAGCCCACATTTATCTGTACTGCTAAGCCTTATATTGGCTTAGCTTACTTCGTCTTCTTTATCAGCCAGCATCCTTGGTGTCTGTTGATCACCGAGTTGATTCTCGCCAATGTAAGGCTTAGTCATCTTGCCAAATAGTGAGCTTGTGTTGATGTATGAAAACTATGTTAGATCTGGTTTATAAATGGTTCTTAATAATTAATAAAGTGTTTACAACCTAATTCATAACCTAATTATAAACCCTTTATGAATCCTTTATAAGGGTAGTCTTATTGTAAAGTGGTACCCATATTTGTTAAGTGTTATTATGGGAGAATTACTATTCTTGTGGTACTACTGCCTTATTAGGCCCATATTGAGCAGAGCATATTAAGACCTAAACTCATGTACAACAACTTCCTTACTTGCAATAAATAAGCACTAATTAGAGGGTTATTGAGGAAAAACTCTCAACTAATGGCTTATTTCTTGTAGAATATGGTCATGTAGAATAAGGCATTAATAAGTGTTTTATAATGACTAATAAAGAGCCAATATACTGCTAATATGCATGTTAATTAACAACTAGTTGATGGTTAATTTGTGTACCTTAATATAAAGTGTTACCGAAACATCAAATATAAGGCACTAAAGCACCATGATTTACCACTCACTCTGCCTCCACTCACAATATATCAATAAATGCCCCTTACCACAGTTAGGGCTCTTCAGAGACATGAAGAGGAAATATAAAACCCTTCAGGATCACCAGGTTAGAGGAAACTCAGAGAGTGAAAGGAGCCATACATGCCTGCCTTATTGTGTCTATTAGTTGTGCGTCCACAATGAATATACTCTGAAATCACATAAATTAACATATATTCTATTGCCCTCAAATGAGATGTCTTCAATACATATGCACTTTGCTCCTTGTGCAATTTAAACCCCTAATCAATAGTATTACCCTTCCTGGGGTCTTTTACTCTCCAGGAAAGGATGTCAGCCATTATGCTCTGAACAAAACGCACACTAATTATGAGGAACACACACAAAACAACCAAGTGGAGGTTGGGGTCACGTCCTTAGGATGTGTGTTTAGCCTATCACCACCCAGAATAGCAGTCGCACATCCCCAGAAACATTGGTGCTTTGTGTTGCCTCCACCTGCATGCTAATGTGTACCTAGCCTGAACCCTGACCCCTGACCTCGGCTTGGTCATTGGAGGGCTGAAGGTCACCCTGGAAGTATGTTAAAGAGAAAGTGATTGTGCCACTAATGGAGTCCATCCACTTTAGAGCCCCGGCCCTCTCCTATTGGGAGGTTAGCTCTGTCCACTGAGGGTCAGCTGCCCCCCCCCCGATGGGCTGCTGCCAGTGGACACGAGTGCTGCTGTGCGGTCATGGAGGCAGATTCACTTCAAGGGAAGGACTGTCCATTAAAAAAAAGCACAAACAAAGGCTAATGATATGGCAGTAAACCACCTGCCTTCTTTCAACCCTCTTATCAATCAACAAAAAAGAAACAGATACCAATTTCCCATTGTTAATTCTTAACTTTTGTGGCGTGTGCTGCTGCTCATCTTGTTCTATGACGCAAAAGAGAACGAACACAGTTCATCCATCATTGTACAATGATAAACACAATTCTTTAATCCATAAATCATCGCCAATGGTAATTGATATAAAAAGAGTTTCTTCTCATCTGAACAGAACATGACTCACACCCCCTATCTTTTTAATCCAATCTGTTTGGAGCAGGACTGAACCAGGCCTGACTAAATAAAATCTCCTCACAGAGAGCTGACGGACTGCTTCATTATCCTGCGCCATCCCCAAGGAATGGCTCTTTTTATGCTCTAAATTACATTTCCTTGATCTCTTTTTCCACTCAAATCTACCACAGCTAGCTCCACCTGGCCAAGGGGTGTCTGACCCTGAGGGGAAATGGCTTGTTAAATGTTTAAACTTACACAAAATATAATTGTATTCTATGTTAAACTATATGTATGAACATGCAGGGTCCAATTGGTGTCGATGTCACTGCATAGTTAAAATGTTGGATTATGTCCTTTTGTAATATTAAACATTGTTCTCAATGTTTTGGTAGCTGAGAGTCTAAAGACACACTAGCTGAGGCTTGAGCTTCATGCTAACATCAGCATGCTAATATGCTCATAGTGACAATGCAATCATGTTGATGTTTAGCAAGTATAATCTTTATCATGTTTCCCAATCTTTCGCTACAGTTATTTGTACAAAACAATCCATACACTAGTTGTCCAAACATTTCACTTGATCACTCGTTTTTACACTTTTTTTTACCGATTTCAAAATATAATGTTTAAATGTGTTAGCCTCAGAGTTGTCTTTTTCTTTGCACAGAGCAGGGCTGTTTTCCTTTTTTCGAATCTATGTCCTAAGCTATGCTAAACAGATGCTGGCTGTCGCTTCATATTTACAAACATTGCGAGTGATGTGGATATTCTAATCTAAATTTCAGCAATGAAACGTGTTTCCCAAAACGTTCTTGGATGCCAAGGTGTCAAAGTAGAGCAGCTTCCTGAGCCTGTGTGTACTAGCATTCATCATGATTTATCATGTTGGGCAACAGGGTTGAAAATAACCCCATGTGCTATGCTCTTGTTTCAGTTTTACTATGAGACCATCAAAACATTTTGTCCTATGACTATTTATTTTTTTATTAGGGGAAACAGGGATGATAATTCTCTCATGTGCTTAGTGGGTTTTTGTTTCTCTTTTACCATGGGGCTGAGTTTCTGTTTTCACTCAGGGGCTGAGAGGCAGGGTAGTGGGAGGCACCTACATTCCCAACAGGTGGCTCCACCCTCTCCCTACGTCACACACGTCAAACCAAAGGGGCATTAAAACGTACATTTTCGTTAAATAATACGGATAAATATGTGACGCTAACTAGCTAGCTGGATGTGC